TATTGATAAATGTATTTAGCCTAATATTTTTGTTTTGAAAATTTCTGTTTATTTTTATTTGTATTTCATGTAAATAATTTATATTTTTAAACTTTATATAGTTTAAAATAAAAAATATTTTTTTCTTGTAAAAAATATAAAATAAATAAAAAATCTAAAATATTTTCAATCTACTTTTAAAAAAATATTTAACATTGCCAAACTGCATAAAGTTACGCAGTTGTATCTTCAATACTGTGGTACAAAAATATAAATCTTTAATTAAAACTTATAATTTAGGGTTATTTGATTATTGTATTAATCAATATATTGCTTTGACTGGAAATAATTGTCGGACAAATATAGAATAGACATGAGAATGTAATGTTATTTTCGTGTATAAAGATAATTAAACGTCGAAAGCAAAAAATGTGAATAAATCACAAATTGAATTATATTTATATTTATATTGATTATTACTGTACTAATAAATTCATATTATGAAAAGAATTGATAGTGATATACGGATATCGAGATATTTTATTCCTCAATTCAAATAATTTAATTACCATAATTTTTCGTAACCATCAATAAAAGGCATTTGAATGAATTAATACAGTTTAATAATAACATACTTAATTGCATGTATCCAATATAATCATTTAATTATCTTACGTTTGAAATTTCTGTTAGATTTTTTTATTCTAAATTTCCATATTTCCATATGATGCAAAATAATTAATTAGTATTATTGACGATCATTTAAATCATTATCGTCGAATTTCTCAAGTAAATTAGTTGATTTATTTATTATTTTATATATATCTACTTTTATTCATTTAATTGAGTAGAATTTTTATGAATTTTCTTTTTTTGTAATTAACCATATACAGACAGACAGACATACACACACACACACACATATATATATATATATATAAATTTCACTGACTGACATATGTGAGAGGATTTTTTACATTGAAAATAAAGGAAAAGATACTCTTTTGTTAGATTGGCCTAATTACTGAATGGAATTGAATTTGAATTCAATATCAAATTACACTCTTTCGATTGGACTTTTATGACTGATTGATGTTGAATGTGAAAACGAAGTGCAATTATTAAGAGCAAATGCAGTCAATTGTACTGTTTTGTTCATTAATGAAAATGTCTGAAAATAAAACTTTAAATTTAAGCCGTCATTTGTCCGAATGCATTTATATATTTTAAATTAATAGGGAAGAGTGGCCATCATTGAACCAGGTTTTTTTAAAAAAGCTCTATTAATAATTAACTTTTACCAATACTGATAATAACTATCGCGCATCAATATAAAACTGAAATACTCCTTTAGTTATAATTACAAACACAATTTATTCTGATTAAATAACAAAAATTTTTTTTAAACTGTTACACTATTAGTCTTATTCTGAAGGCCCTGTTTACATTGAACCACCTCTATACTAAAAGACAAGAAAACTTGTTTTTTAAGTACCTAATATTTTAACTTATATTTTGTAAATAAAGTTAAAAAATGACTAAAAATCATAATATAGCTGAAACAGTCATGTTTCGATAAAATTCGAATCGGAGCTAATTTATAAAAAATGAAGAAATAAGAGAACATTTTATTTAGAACTATAAATTAAAATTTTTCATATAACTATAAAACATGAAGAAATTAATAACTTTGAGTTTTCGACTCGAAGTCATTGCTTTCTTCATATTTTATAATAAATATAGATGGCCCAGTGATAAAATCATTATTATAAGAATATTGTACTTCTTCAAAATTATTTTCATCATTTTAATTCAATTATTATTTTCAAGAATTTTTAACTAAAATCCTTCTTTCAATCAATAATTATTTTTAATAATTTTCGAACAAAGTTCTTTGAAAATTTTCAAATTCAATTCTCATAAAGAATTTTATCAATAAATTTTCAATAATTAAATTATTTGGACGAATTTTAATAAAATACATTTATCGAGAAATTCGATTAAAATTGTATTAAAAATAATTAAAATTCTGTGATGAGTTTTATTATTTATGAAAATAATTGAATTTCTGCAATCATTTGTAACTTATTTTCCAAAACTAAATTTTTTTAGTTTTTTGAGAATTTTTAAATTCATTTGTTTTACAATTCAATTTTACAAAATTTTAATTATTCGAGTATTCTTTAATATTAAATATATAAATTAGAAAATAAAAACTTCATAAAAATAATTTCAAGTAAAATTCAAATAAATGTTTTCAAAACAATTAATTCTTCTGTACAGAATTGTTCGTTAAAAGTATGAAAAATTCAAACTTTCAAAGATTTTAATATGAAATCTTTTAAATTTTCAGGTATTTCTATAAATTCACGCTATAATGCTTTTAATAGTCAATTATAATAATCTAAAATTTTTAATGAAATTCATTTTCCTACAAAGAATTTTAGTATGTACGAAAATAATTGAATCTTTGTAAAACTTTTATTATTTATGAAAATAATTGAATTATATTGCGAAGAAATTTATAAAAAATTTGTAAGTAATTGAATTTCTGTGAAATTTTAATTATTTTATGATAATAATAAATAATAATTTATAAATTATTAAATAATTAATGAAAAAGTTTATTATTTATAAAAATAATTGAATTATTGCGAAGAAATTTATAAACAATTTGTGAGTAATTGAATTCCTGTGAAATTTGAATTATTTTATGAAAATAATTAAATGTTTGCGTAGCATTTTACTAAATTTTTTTTAAATAATTGAATTTTAGAAAAGAATTTTCTTATTTCTAAACATCCCAAGTAGCACGTAATATTGGGAACATTCCAGCAATATGCCACAACATTGAGGCAATATTGGTAATGTTAAGGCAATGTTCCCAATATCGCTGTAATATTACGTGCAACTGGGGATAATAGTATGATCTAAATTTGAACGATATTTTTGTAAAATGTTTTGAACATAATTAAATTTCTACAATCTTTTATAATTTCTCCAAAATTCTCTAAATTATATCGTCCAATTTACGAAATTTTAATTATTCGGAAACTCTTTAATTAAATATAAATTAGAAAATAAAAACTTTAAATAATTTAACTGAAATTCATATTTAAATCAATTTTTATTAAAAAATTCTACGGAAATTCAATTATTTAAATACAAAAATAAAGAATTAATTTTAAGAATTCAATTCAAATTGTATGAAAAATAATTGAAATTTTACAATGAGTTTTATTATTTACCAAAATAATGGAATCCCTGTTAAAATTTAATCATTTATGAAAATAATTGAATTATTGCGAAGAAAATAAAAAAAATTTTTAAATAATTGAATTCCTGTGAAATTTTTGTTATGTTATGAAAATAATTCAATGTTTGCGTAGAATTTTATTTCATTTTATTAAAATAATTGAATTTTTTTGGAAAATTTTATTAAAATAGTAGATTATAAAAATCATTAAATTCAGAAAATTTTTTAAAATAATTGAAATTTTGTCAAGAATTTCATTAAAATTTTTGAACATAATTGAATTTTTTTAATTTTTTTAATTGAATTTTTTTTTAAATTTTTTAAAAATTTTTTTTTTTTATAATTTTTTTTTATTTTATAATTTCTCTAAAATTTTTTAAATTATATCGTACAATTTATGAAATTTTGATTATTTGGAAACTCTTTAATTAAATATAAGTTAGAAAATAAAAACTTCAAATAATTTAACTGAAATTCATATTTAAACCAATTTTTATTAGAAAATTCTATTAGAAAAATTCGAAAATAAAGAATTTATTGAATAATAAATTGAATGTTTCTTAAAATTGAATTCTCATAAAGAGTTTTATGAACAATAATTGCCATTTTACAATGAGTTTTATTATTTACGAAAATAATTGAATCTCTGTAAAAATTTTATTATTAATGAAAATAATTGAATTATTGCGAAGAAATTTATAAAAAATTTGTAAAAAATTGAATTCCTGGGAAATTTTTATTATTGTATGAAAAAAATTAAATGGCGAAGAATTTTATAAAAATTTTTTAAAAATAATTGAATTCTTTTGGAAAATTTTATTAAAATAATAAAGTTTCAAAATAATTTTATTGAATTAAGGAAAATTTTGGAAAATAATTGAAATTTTGCCAAGAATTGTATTAAAATTTTTGAAAATAATTGAAAGTACATAAATAAATAAATAAAAAAAATTTTTGAGAAGAATTTTAATAATTCTAAAGATATTTTGACTAGAATTTTTTAAATTTTTGAACGTAATTGAAATTTTTTAAAGAATTTTATTAGTTTCAAAAATAATTAAATTTCTGCAATCATTTGTAGTTCCTGTAAAATTCTCCAAACTATGTCGTACAATTTACGAACTTGTCGTCATTTTTCTATCAAATTACGGACTTTACGGATCTTTTTTTTTAAAAAAACTGAATTTTACGGACTATAAGCAAATTTACGAACCTTTACAAGATTTACGGACCTAGTTCGAGCTCTGTCGTCTTTTTTCTATCAAATTACAAACTTTACAGACCTATTTTTTTAAAAAATTTTTTTTTTAAATTCTTCAAAAAACTGACATTTACGGACTTGAAGCAAATTTACGTACCTTTACTGGATTTACGGACCTAGTTCGAATTAATATATTAATTTTTCTTGTCTAATGAAAATTTAAATTATAATTTTTTAAATGTTATTGTTAAATATTTTTCACATATTATTTTTCATTTTATTAAGTGAAAAACTAATATAAAATGAATTAGATAAATAAATAGCTTGGAATAATAATAATTTTGTTAATTAAAGTGAAAGTGATTGGATGTTATCTCTGAATGTGTGCGTCTTGATGAAATCCGGAACAGTGCAGATCGTTTGGTGCGAGATACTTCCGGTTAACGGCATTGGTAACCAGACGCTTCTCTCTCCTTCTTGTGTTGAGTTTCTCTCTCCTTCTCTCTCACCCCCAGCCAGCGCGGCCAGCTCCGCTCATTCAAGCTCTATCCGAGTCGACTTGATTCAGTCGCGGTCGAACCGCCACACAGAGAGCTTTCGTTCAATTTATATTATTTGATGCGAAGCTTTCGCGGGGCTGTGAGCTTTCGGTTTTTCACACAAAAAAAAAGTCAAGAGAGTGATAATCGACAATCAATTCTGCCACACGTTCTTCTTAATGTTTTCAGATGGATTTCTTTCAAATATATTAATGGTTTAAAAAACGAAAAGAAAATTCAAAAATTACTGGTAGGTCAATTGCAGGCGAGGAAATTTCGATTTTTTTTTCTCCCAGTGAGTGTTGTTAGTGATTTGAATAAAAATCGACGAATTCGTATAAAACAGAATTTCTTTTTAAAACGAAAATATTTTCATTTATTGAAATGGAAGTGAAGAATAATTCGTTTTTCATTGAGAGTAAAAAAACTCAATTACAAGGTGAAACCTCTTTCTGAGGGTAAAATTTAAGAAACGAAAATTTTATCCAAAAAGATGTAGGAAAATTTAATTTTTCTTTACCGCAAAAAGAAATAAAGGTGAATTCTTTGAAAAGGGGAAAATAATGAGTAGTTTCATTTTTGTAGAAAAAAAGGTAAAATTTTACCAATTAAAAAGGTAAAATTTCATGTGAAACTTTTTGAAAACTACTATTAAAAAATAAAATTTTCAAAAAGAATTCTTCCCTAAAACGGAATTTTTCGATGATAACACAAAAAATGCCCTAAAAGGAAATTGTTCAGTGACCCGTAAATAGAGTGGTGGAAGAAGAAGAAGAAAAAAAGTGTGATTTAAAATTCAGAAACGTGATAGAATATATATGTATTTCAAGTACTGAAAAGTTCAATGAGGCATTCTCGAGTGGTTTGGCTGTCCAAATGGGATAGATTTTTTCCTTGTACACGACGTAAGAGAAGGCATGATTGTTCTGTGCAAGTGTTCAAGTAAGATATCGTGTGATAATGCGATATCGCGAATACAAGAATTTAAAAAATTTCCAAATTTCAAAAATTGTGAGCATCATTCAATAATAATAATAAGTGTACTGTGTGAACACTGCATTTACATTGTGAGAAAATCACGAGAGAGAAATCAACTTTTTTTTGCAATATCGACAGTTACAAGAAAACCAAGCGAAAAAGAGAAAAAGAGAGTGAAGACTGCAGTGAAAGATAATTTTCAGATAAAACTTTGAACTGGACACCCGCTGTCTATATAGTAAGTAGTGTGCTGTCAGTTTCTCTCTGACAAAAGATTTTTTTTTTTATTTCCAAAAATAAATTTTTCTTTTCTAAGACATTTTTAATCCGTTTTCTCAATCTTATTGAATTTTTTCTAACATTTACCTTATTATGTGTTTCTCTAATTGCTTTGCCTATAATTTTTAACTGACAGTAAATTTTTTCACAAAACATAAAAGGAATTTTTAAAACTTAAAAAAAAAAAAAAAAAAAAAAAAAATTAGTACAGTTGTGGGAATACAAATGAAATTATTTATTTCTGTGAATAGATTACTTAATTATTACCAAATAAATATTTAATATTCAATAATTTTAATCATTCACCTAACATACAAAAATTATTGGTATTCGAATAGTTTATTTAATTTATATATAAAAATGAATAATTTGGTTTAAGTAAATATTTTTTTTTTGATAATAAACTATGATTATATTCAAATAAAATTTTTTAGTGTTCTATTTTTAATTTTATAATAAAAAGTTTTTTTTATTATACGTGATACTTTTTTCTCTGTAAGTCGTAAAATAGTTTTGTAAGAATTTAATTTTTTTTTATTCAATGTACTTGATATTGAACTTGACATTAAGAATAGAAATAATTTTACGATGTTTACACGTGCTGTTCAAATTATTTAATTTTAGTTCTCGTGGTAATTTTAAAACTCCTAATAATTATCATTCGTTTATTATTTTAATGTAAAAAAAACAACTTTAATATTTGTGAAGTCTAAGAAAAAAGCAATAAACTCTCGATAAGCGATCGTACCAATTAACGAGAGTTTACTACACTTTTTTTTATTATTTATTGTTATTTTTGTATCAATGTAAATATTGTTTTTCTTCTGTAATTACAAATTTATATAATTTACTGTGTTATGTACACAGTCATTATAAAACTTTATTTGTTATTAACAGACAAATAAAACTATAATAACAGAAATTTATAAACTATAACAGAACATATTTTCATTTGTTATTAACTAAATTATTATAAACTAATTTGAAAATTATTAAATTCTTCTAAATTTTAAATAAAAAAAAGAATTTGAATTTGAATTAAAAAATAAATAATTTAATGGGAATGCGATTTTATTGTTGTGTTTGTTGAATAAAATTATAAAATTTGTTCACAAAAAAACTTTCTAAAAGTTCTTTTGACTTTACACTTTTCTTTGCAAAATAATGAAATTGAATATTGAAAACAAAATGGAATATTGAATCGAAAAACCATAATCACTTCGTGGGAATATTATTTAAAATCAGTGATACGTGAAGGAGCGCAATATCATTTTTTCTGTCACTGGTCTGAAAAAGACAAATTGGTTGTATTTTACACATTTGTTTTTCATATCTATTATACTTCCTCCCATTACTCAGATGAGAAGTAGCGCCGAGTTTAGGCTTTACGAGACTTGAAGTTGAAGCTTGGTTAGGTTTTTACTAAAAATTAGTCGAAACTGTTAATAATTAAAATTGGTAAACGAATCCGCATTAATTCTGATTTAGAGAGTTGATTGTTACATTTTCATTCATAACATGCAAATAAAATAGTTATTTATTATTTTATATAAATTAACAGTACTACTTAAACGAAGAATGAAAATATCGCTCGTATGTGGGAATCGAACCCCTGACACATACCAGTCAGGTAGCTACCTTACTGGCATCACGCGCAGCAGCGGTTATTCGATCTGCGCCCTCAATTTCATTAATTTATTGAACCGCCGGCAAACAAAAGGGTTTACACGAGAAACAAAATCATTTTTTATTAACACTTGGTTGCTACTGTTTTTCATTAGAAATTTAAATTTTTAAAATTTTATAATGTTTTTATTATTTTGTAATTTACTTAAAAATTTATTTAATAAGATGACTTTAATAGTTAATATATGACTTTTTGTCATGTATCTATTTATAATTATTAGACATCTATTTATTACTGTAAATTTATTTAATTACTGTTGTTTAGTGTAATATGTTTATTTATTTACTGACTGACCATATTGACTGACACAAATTATATAAATAATATGTAATTATATAAGTTCTTTAACTGTATAAATGTTATGTATTGATAATGACATACGTGAAATGTCGAAACGTCTACTTTTGTTAACTTAAATCGTATGACTGGATGTAAGAATATATATTGATTTCTTGAATGAAAATTGAAATTTTAGTCCTTAACATCTTATATTAAATAAATTATACTTAAATCTGTCGAAATTACGGAAATCAACATCTATTCACTAAAATTTCTTAAAAATTAAATTTTTTTAATAAAAATCAATAGCACCCAGGAGTGACTAACGAAAATGATGGTATTTCTCGCGTGAGTCCTTTTGATTGCTGCCAGTTTAATTATAAAAAATTATTATTGAAGAAAATCATTTATCATTTTTTATATATACATTATACAATTTTTTTAAATATTCTTTTCGGTTATATAAAAATTGTTAAAAATTCATTGAAATAAAAATGTTTATTACTTATTCAACTATGTCTTCCACACAATCTTAGAATTATAAATCGTTCACCTTAAGTGGATTTATTATTTAATAACTTAATTATTAACTTTGGAACTTGACTGATTAGTCTACTGAATGACATTCTTTTTTCTGTAACTTTGACAAGTTAATAAAAAGAAAAAAATTTATAAAAGAGTAGTTAAAAAGTATAGATAAATCGACTGAAAATTTTTTTAATTAATAACAAAAATATATAAAAAACGAAATAATTAAATTTTTTCATTTTAAAATTAAATATTCGTGACAACAGCGCTCATATTGTTGTCTGACAGGTACCGGCCTACTACTCCCCTCTACATAACTCGGAAGTAGATATTGCTGTTGGGACAGACAGTCTAAGCGCGCGCCTAATGCACTACTGCATGGGCAACCTCGACTATAAATTGTATCTGCTTAGAACTGTTTATTACTAGATGTAGTATGTAGTATTTATGTCCCTCTCACTCTGAAGTTGTTTTTTGTTTATACTTTTATTTTTTGTTATCTTTAGATAGACTGCATATTATATTATTATGTTATAATTATTTTTATTTTACAAGTAATTCAAAATTGTAATAACAAATAGAAATCATAAGAATTTTTTTCATTTCTTTTCATTAAAAGACTAAAATTTTTTTAAATATTATGTTTTGTCAAATTGAAATTATGCAGTTTTTTGTTCTTTAAACAAAATTAGAAAATTGTTAAACAACTGTGATTAAGAAATAGAAAATTTATTTATTTTGCATTATTTTTTTTATTTTGCATTATTCAGAGGTTCTAGACTGTGGAATAAACTCCCTTCTACAATAAGAGATGCGTCAAAGTTATGTATTTTTAAGAGAATATTTTTTGATTTATTATTTAGAACCAACAACACATTATTTGATGTTACCTACTGGTAGGGACACTATTGTTGAGAAGCCAAAACATATATACATATTTACATAATTAATTTATTATTTTTCTTCATTACTTTGATATAGAGTTGAAAACTTCTTGTCTGCGATATACCACTGCTTATTTTATATTCAAGCATGGTTGGCCGTGATTTAATTACTATATGTTATACAATTTTTATATTTTAAATTTTTAAGTGCAATTTCTTTAACTATAAGTTAATTTCCTTAATTTGTAATTGAAATTAATTTGTATCTTGTTCCTTGAAGGGCTTATTAGCCCTAGGAGCTTATATCTAAATAAATAAATAAATAAATAAATTATTTTTATTTGTGAATCACAATTTTTTAACGAAATTATTATTTTGTTTTAGAAAAAGAAGAAAAACATTTGCACAATTTATATTTTTAATCTTATTTTTGAAACAGGATTTTCCACAGAAATTAAGACATTCAAAAATTTTAAATTCAAACCTTTTTTAAATTAAACAACTTATAAAAGTATTTGTTATAAAATATGAAGATATCGATTGCTCCGAGTCGAAGACTCGGAGTGTTCGATTTCTTCATGTTTTCTAATAATTAAAGATGACCGAGAGATAAAATCATTATTTTATATTATAAGAATATTGCTACTGTAACTTTATCAAAATTATTTTTATCATTTTAATTAAATTATTATTTTCTAGAATTTAAAATTATTTTTTATGAAAATAATAATTGAATTCTTTAAAAAAATTTTATTATTTATGAAAATAATTAAATTCCTGTGAAATTTTTATTATTTATGAAAATAATTAAATGTTTGCATACAATTTTATTAAAATTTTTGTTAAATAATTGAATTCTTTTTGGGAAATTTTATTAAAATGGTAGATATTGAAAATCATTGAAATTAGAAAATTTTTTGAAAATAATTGAAATTAGGACAAGAATTTTTTTGACATTTATGAAAATAATTGAACTTTGGAGAAGAATTTTGTTATTTTTAAAGGTAATTGAGATATTTACGAGAATTTTTTTCAAATTTTGAACATAGTTGAATTTTATAAGAAGAATTTTATTTTTTCCAAATAATTGAATTTCTGATTATTTGTCATTTTTACAAAATTGAATTTTTTTAGTATTTTCAACAAAACAAATATATATCAATGTAGATGTTTTTTGTCAAATGTTCCACGAATGTTTTTAAACTAAATGTGCCCATTGGGATACTTGTCCATTTTTTGATGAAAAAGTCATATTTAAACAAATTTTTCAACAATTATTAACTGTAATAATCATGGTATTCTTTCTATCTGTCCTCATTTAAAGTTCGTCTTTTGTGCATCCTTTTATTTTTCGTTGAGTTTTTATAGATTTTATTGTAATTATTTTTTTTATTTTATAATAAAATGAAAATTTTTAATAATTAATTACTTAAAACAAATACCTATTAGTTTTAAACAATTTACAACCAACTTCTTACTACCTTTTATAAATAAAATTAGCAATTTTAAAAATTTTCTAATTCAAATTTTTGTTGAAAACACTATAAAAATTCAATTTTGGATAAATTACAAATAATTGCA